ATATTACCAACAGGGTATGGCAAAAGTATGATGTATATTTTACCACCAATGCTCCTCAATATTATGCGGAAAGAGACAACAAGCCAACGGGGTAATGGGTTTCAGCTTTAGAACATTCACTAATGCATTGTCAACAGTTTCCGAGGTTTTAAGTCTAGATGCAATGGATTGCCTGCGATACCCTTTAACTTTCTTCTGGAACTCATCTCCACAATGAATGCAAGAACCTGCCATTCTCAATTTTCAGTTAAAATGTCAACTGCGCATGTTTCGTCATTGTCATGTGATCAGGTCACATGACAGAGGTCATCTTGAAATCCGTCGTTCAATCGATTAAATTACGTTCGGTCTAATTATACACAGAAATATATACTTTTCAAGAAGAAATAGTCCTTCATTTTCGGTCAGTAGATACCTAAGATGTTTGTGTTTGCAAGGATAACTTTTATTCGTTTTAAATTTCATTGAAATCGTTCGATAACATCAAAAATAGCGTGCGCCCCGGGATCCCGGGGCGGCGAACTGTGCGGTTCTCAATGGACGCGATCTGCAGCTCTATGGCCGCAACGTAATATCAAAATAGCTTAAGCGGCCAATAAGAGCTGCTAAACTGCAGCAATATAATGACGTGCTTCATACCCCTGGCAAAGTTTCCGCAAAACAGAAATCAGGTATATGAAAGCTATCACCTCGAAGCTTTTAACATCTTTTAATTTTAATTTTATCTTATAGTTTAGCTACTGTATTTTTTATGATTTGTATTTTATTTACCATACTGCACCCTCTGATGGCATAGTAGTGTAATAAAGTTATTATTATTATTATATGCAATCGAAGCTAAAGTACCATTGTACGAAGCCTTATCTACTAGTAGTACTATTATTTTTGTTGTTAATTGCTATTTTAATATATCTTTATAACAGTGTATAAGTGAGTATTTTCGCCCGGGCAGTTCCATTTCGTCCCGGGCAGTCCCCGGGCAGTTATTAGTAGGACCCGTCGAAAGTGATGTTTCATACCTGTGTGAGCGTGACTCAAGAAGTAAGCTTTCGAGTTGAGATTCGGTCCATCGAATCGATCAATACTGATATCTGGATACTCCAAAGTTCTCCCACAGAAAGTACTCATTTTTAAAGCACTAGACGGAGATGTATGTCCTAGTAGACAGCAACAGAAGAAACTTGCTGATCAGAAAAATGAACAACCCTGTGCGAAATTTTGATCGCCATTTTGAATTTACCTCTGTGAACTGAACTTTCACCCCGAATAGCGCCCCCTCACAAGAAAAGATGAACTTCAACATATTTTGTTTTCATAGGCTGAGTAAGGTTTGCAAGTTTATTATTAAAGTGCCTGTGCAATGCCCACCCTCACGTTTCCCATTTTAGATCTGTGTCCCACTGAAATGGGCAGTTATTGTCACCAAATGACAAAAATGTGAGAGGAAGTCATACCTCAGCGATCTTTCTTCAGTTGGTGTGTGCTTTACTGTAATTATCCACCATCAGAACTTATCGCCAGATATCCTTGACCATATGGCTTTATTTTATGATTTTATCAACAACAACAAATGCTTAATTTATTAAACATAAATTGAAAGTAATCGAAAGTATCACAGATTAAATATTCTCTGATTCATTCTGTCATATGATCTTATTTTAAAGACACACTCTTCCGAAGTTATAGCAATTATATAAATGAAATACTTAGTTCTGTTGCATAGCTCATTGTATGATTTCTCAGTCTCAATTTATTGATAGATTGTATATAAGATTGTTTTATGCAAATAGGAAGTAAAACTGTGTTTGTGTAATGTTCTCTGTGCTTGACATAAAGCCGGAATCTTAGTTACCACAGTCAACTATGAACACAGTGCTGTATGCACTACGACTTCTTAACGCAAATGTAGTCGTACACAGTGGCAAAAAAAAAAGACCAGCCGCTGCACACATTTGTGTGGGTTTAATCAATTCGTTAACAGAGAACGCTGTACAGTGGGGATTGATTGGTCCACACTTTTTGGCATGCTGACCAGAAAAAATATTTTTAGGTTTTAACTGGACGATGCAACTTGAGACAAAATCAAGACTGACTTATTCGCTGTGCATGCTGGTACATTGGAACAACAAACGTCATCTCAATATATTACAGATGGATTTGAAGATTTGTAGTACAACCATTGAAGCGGGAGGGTCGTCACCTGCGTACGCACCCGTCCTAAGCGATGATAACACACGCTAGAAACGCATGGGTAGACACTTGTTTCTAAACAATGGCACGCTATGGCAATCTGATGCATGCGCAGGTGACGACTCCCCCGCTTTAAGAATACCTGTGGTTATATAACCTGATTATGGCATGGTAATTGAGGTCAAAGCATCACAACTCAGAATATGCTCAATTTACAACTTTATTCAGTATATTCTGGGCGTATTCTTGTCCTCAGTATCGGATTAGTTGAAAACACTAAAATTCGTGACGACAACAGATAGTCAAATGAAATTGGTTTATTTAATACCTCTTCAATATGTTGTTTTAATATATACTCTCAATGGAAACGTTGCTGTACTCTGATTGCATTCATCCACCTCTTATGTCATGGATTTGTCAAATGTCAGATTATTCAATGAAGTTGGACACTGAAGCTTGAGCTAAATCAGTTTCAGGGAAATAGCTATTTGCATATATTTTGCATATTCATATTAACATACCATGTAATGTACAGTCTAGCTACAACGCCCTCGCCGACGAACTCACTCAGTCACAAACTACGATCTACGTGTGTTAACTTTTCAGAATTATTAACGATGCATTGCACTAGATCGGAGAGCATATTTGTTGCCAGAACATTAAGCTAATGTACTACACACGTCATGTCGCATGAAACACCGTGTCAATTACACACATTATGTCTTATGAAACACCACACCACCAACAAATATAAACCTCATAAATGAAATACTACGCCGCCACCACACGTCACATAGGCATTTCTAACATACCGGTATATTTATTTACAATTATTTTTTTTTCTGAACTGAACATGCTGATACTATACACACAATTGTAAATCATATGATATCGCTTTCATTGCGAAAATTTGTTTCTCTTCTTAAACATTATTATTATTTTTGCCATCGATCACTGCTTTGATTTCATCGTAAATAGCACTAACACGAGTATAAACGTCAGGAACGCCCATCAAGCCGCATTCAGCACCCCAACTTGTGATGCCAGCCAGGAACCACTCTCCATTGTCACGACAAATTAACGGTCCACCACTGTCTCCCTATAAAACATCAACAAAATAATAATTTAAACACTTCAAATAAACAAGATTACAGTAATAAACAGCTGAGTGGCCATGGACAGTCGATCGGGTCAGTGGTACGTGGGGCCACAGGGTTCATTACTATACTAGTTAGTATAGTATACGGGGCCAAAATAAAAAGCACGTAGTGCGAGAAGGAATGACACCTTTGGGGACTAGTGACGTCACTGAGTTAGATTAGTTCAATTTTTGATAATAAAATAACATTTACTATGGTAAATATAACACACATTTAAATATAGCTCACCAATGAAATTCGCTGACGCGATTAAATTAAAAAATAGAGCTGACATTTGACGAATCACGTTTTAAAATCCTCGATAAGAAATATTATTTTTGCAAGGCTTGGCAATAAAATCCTGAAATACTAGAACACCAGTCTGCACTAAAGGTTGTGATGACTAATTACTGAATCAAACATACTTTTTTATTATTACTCTTATTTAATTTAATTTAATTTAATTTAATTTAATTTAATTTAATTTAATTTAATTTAATTTAATTTAATTTAATTTAATTTAATTTAATTTAATTTAATTTAATTTAATTTAATTTAATTTAATTTAATTTAATTTA